CAGAAGTTTTCTTTGATTCATATACCTTTGTCATTGTGTATTTTTCTATGTTAGACATATTTTCAGGGCTTCTTTATACTCACACTCAAGAATGGAATAAATATCTGCGAAGACACTTCATCAGAGCTGGAGAGGAATTTAAAAAAAACATAAAAAATTAAGTTGTAACACATATCAAAGGTTACAGGAAATTCTTCTTCCCTTTTCTTTTGGCATTAAAATATTAACATAAAGCTGCACATAACATACAAATACAATGGCAAAATCATTAAGTTTAATATAATAATGAATGAACTTACTATGCATTTTTTATATTTCATATCTTAGTGATGGCTGTCCACTAATCAAATTTGTTCAAAAGAAGATTTAACAAAGTTTAAAAATGTTGTACATCTGTCTGGAGTTTTTCTATTTATATGAAGCACCCCTCAATTAGAAAGCCTATTTTCTTTCACTTTCAAAGTATAATTCAATCTTGAATTGATTCAAGATTGAATTTATTTGCAAACTCTACATTTCCATTGAAAGTGTGGTTACCAAACTGAACTACAAACTTATGAGTTTTGTCTGAAGTGACTTTTATTCTATAAACTCCACAGATAATTAATGTTAAAGTATAAGGACATTTTGTACAATGAAATTAAGTTTACCAACATCTTTACTATTAACAACTTTAGGAATAGTCAGCCTAAAAATAAGCTGAGCAGATTCAACCCAAAGTACTTCATTCAAAAAACTGGCTATTTGTGAAACGTAAGCCACAATTTTACATTCAAGAAAGATCAGTTGTCCTAGCCCAAATCTTGAAATCAGCCATAAAAGATGATGTAATATGTTTACAGGTATCCACTGAAACTGCAAGTGCCATGTACAAAGTGCATACACAAGTTTATCTGAAGAAAAAAAATTAAACAATACTTTGGTAATGAACAAAAACCACCATCAATTGGGGCCGCACAACCAGAAACATACCTTCTTCCTTTGCACATGATAAGTGCCTCCGCAATGGGCATCTGATGTAAGGAATTTGCACCATTTAAGTATTTGGATATTCTGTTTACAATGTCTTGGGAATCTGCAAAAGATGAAAACTTGTATCAGTCATGGAAGTATCTTAGAAGTACTGAAGGGCAACCACTTAATCTTAGACCAATACAAGACTATGTGCCATGACTATGTTGACAGTTTTTAGGTACAGAAAACAAAACCTTTCTTGCATAAAGTCCACATTTTTTATCATGAGTGAGTGTGGGTGCATGCGAGTGTGTGCTCGCCCATGCACATGCGTGGGTGTGTGTGTCCGCGTGAGTTTGTGCGTGTGTGTGTGTGTGGGG